TAATTATATGCAAGATTTTGCATACAAACATCATTTAATTTGCAATATAACTATACACTTTGTGAAATTTTCAATATAGAATTAGATCCTGATTCTGAAGATCTGATTTTTATTTCTGTATTATTGATTTTGATCTACCTATCATTATAGTTATGGTACGATTTTCCAAAAGTCATTTATCCGACAGGCCACTTACCCGACATCATACAGGTGACAAATTGCTAAAAATATATATCTACAGCTAATTAAATACTAAACCTAATCTATGTGATGTTAGGTAAATATTCTGTTGAATAAATAGCTTTCAGAGAATTAAGCAACAACTGCTATTACCTATAACACAATAGAACAATGCTTGTAAATAATGCTCTAGAAACTGGACTCATGATAACTCATAACTCATGAATTAAACTCAGAAGAGTATCAAATATATTTGAATCATGTGATTGAATTATTTTTTTGAGTTTTATTCAAATTACTCGATTCAGAAAAGTTTATTTATTATAAATGTATTTTAAAAATATACTTTATTTATAAAAGCAAATATTGCAAATTACAAGTCGCAAAGCAAATATATAGCATATTAACTATTTATTATCTGGAAATATTGTATCAAATAAATCCATATTTTTCTTTAAAAATAACATCTCACTCACTAATTCCAGATCAAGATTTGTGCGATTTGGTGTAATATTGTTTCCAACATCTGAAAATAACCAATCAGATAAGACTGAAGTTGCTGATATACACAAATTCTTCTATGCAATTTTTGATAATATAGAAAACTGTGCTTTTTTAAGGTTCTACTATTAAAAAGGATCTGTCAGTCTTTTCTCCTATTTCAAAGCTAAGTAATTATCAATTTCACTAATTTTATCATTGTCATCAGCATATAAATCTAATAAAACTAATTTTTATTTTTTGGAATTCTACTAGCTTCTAAATCATCATTTTTGATATTCGACAAGAACATTAAATGCTTAGGAATTGGATAAATCTTACATTCTAACTCATACAATTCTTTTAAGTATTCTTTAGTCTTTATAATCACGTTGGTATTTGCCAATGTCTTTCGTATCATCTATAATTTCTTTTACAGAATCAGGAATTGCTAATTTGCTCATGTCTGTTGAAGCTAATTCAATATATGATTGTTGGAGTGAAAGTTTTAAAGTTTTAACTAAGGTGAAAATTGCTGGATATATTAAAGAAATTGTAACATAAGTATTTCTACTTAGTAACACTGTAATTTCTTCAAACCCACACAATACATCATTTAATTTGTCTAAACAAACCTATTCATCATTGGTAAGCATAATGCGGCTAATCGTTCACCATCCTTTCAGATGTGTATACTTTTATCTGATTGAAGTCGTGATAGAAGGTATATGATCACTCTTTTTAAATAAAGAAGTCTTTTCCATGTATAAAATGATAAATTCCTTCATGTTGAAATATCTTCAATTGTTGATAAATATTTTTTAAACCTGAGGTCTTTATGCATGGTAAGAAGATATTTGATTTGCTTAGATGAATTATTAAAAAAATCGATCAGTCTTTTTATATATAAAACCAAATATCTAATTACATTTAATCCTTTTTTAACAGACAATTGAAGCACATGGGCTGTGCAAGGAATCCTATTAAGTTCTAATAATCAGGTGGCCTTTTTTATATTTAACCTGTTGTCAGTAGTTATCGCTAATATTTTGTTAATTAAATCTCATTCAATACATATATTATCCAACAATTCAGCAATTACTTCATCCATATAGGTATAGAATGTGTTATAAAATAAGAAGTGCTTCTTTAAGTTCTCAAGAATCAAAAATCCAAGCACATGTGATTCCAATGTATTCCTGGTTATAATAACTTGTTCAAAAATCCATCATCATAGACACAGCAACACTCTCCTTTTCTAATAAGTTTATTAATTGTTTTTTGCTCCAAGTAAATAATTTGTTAACAGAAATTTTTACCATTTTATTACAAGGAATTAATAAATTTTTATCAAGTGAATGCAGTAATTTTTGAAAACTTTTGCATTCTACTATATTAAATGGCTATGAATTGTCAATGATAAATGAAATTAAATTCTGCTATATTAATTCATATTCATCCTCAGTTCTATTAAATTGATTTTTAATAAATTGGCAAGAATTATTTTTTAATATCCTATGATAACAAGCAAGATAGTTAATCAAGTTTGAAGTTGTTGAGCTGTCATTATATGAAATACCACATTTTTTTCTATTATCCAATATACTTTACAAGTCACAGTCATACTATTTATATTCTTGTCAAAGTAGTCTCAGACAAAGCTTTTAGGACAACCTTTAGACTAATTAGTAGTTGTATTTTCTTATACAATTCTTCATGTTCACTATATTCACTATCACTTTTATTTTGCACTATATTTGTGTATGGATAAATTACAAGAGTTATTATTAAAATTTGCGATTGTAATATTTTATTAAAATCTTGTATGTAGAATTATATATGTTATTTTTTTTTTTGAATTTTTAATATATTATGTTATTAAACTTTATAAAATTACATATATATTATGTAATTATTAAAATTTTATTTATGCAAACTATTAATCATTAAAACTTCATTCATACAAACTATTAATCATTAAATTACGTAATTAATTAACTTGTGAATAACTTATGAGTTAAACTTTTATGATTCAGAGAGTAATAAATTCGAATTACTCAGGTCACGAGTTGATGAGTCCAGTCTCTACAATGCTCGTACAATCATATATCAATATGTTTGATTTCCCAAATTCGCATTTACTCTTTATTATCCAATAACTACAATCTATTTAGAGCTAAACAAGTAAATGTATGTTTCACAGTTTTGAAAACATTATATGTAAATTGATTTTTTGGTTATTTGATTTTCTTGTTAGATGATTTTCCTCCCAAATTATTTGGCTTAAACAATGAATTATCTGAATATAGTAATTGATTGAATTGTTATTTTTGAATAATTTTCTAAATAATTTGTGGTCCTGTCTGCAAACATTTAGCCTTGAACTGGTTAAAGAATGAATTCAAGCTCCTGTTAATAACCAGATTGATCTTTAACAGTTTTATCCAAATTCAACTCTTTACTGGTAGCATCTGAAAAAATGTTTGTTAATTTTGATTTGTACCTTACTGATACTAAAAAATTGGTTGACTCTTATATAATAAATAATTATTATTCAACTTTTTGGTTACCTATATTTTTTCTATTTTAGAAAGTATTATGATTATCAAGTTTTTGCTTATTTAGGTATTATTATGATACAGTCAACCCTTTCTAAATGCATGACATCGGGACCATAGTAAAAAAAATTAAGAATATGCATTTAGAGAGGTTATGCATTTAGGGAGGTAAAAATCTATAAGTGTTATATTAGCTGGGCCCAAGAAAAGGCATGCATTTAAGAAGGTTTTTCATATATATGCATTTAGGGAGGTCCGACTGTAATCATATTTATTAATTGAAATAACTATCATTAGATATCATAATTAATATTGTTATAATTAACAAACATATATCGAAAAATGATAAGTGCCATCAATGAATACATACTGTTATTCTAATATAATAGTTTAGGTATAGTTTTCTAAAATCCTGTTATGAAAGGAATTCGTGAAATAAAAATGGTCTAATGCATGTAATTGTGTAATCTTATGCCCAATTAATATGTAACAATCCTTTAGTGACCCTACACAACAAAATAATTTTAGTAAAAATCATTTAATGAAGAACTTAGTCTTGTGCTTCGTTGTTGGACACCATAGTTCACGGGATCACAGGTGATTAGATTATAACAATACACTAAACACATAAAACAAACCAACAAGAGTAGATATAACTAGTGCATGATGTTAAGGTAAGAATTGATTCTAGGATACAAAACAGCCAACGATGAGAATTATTTATAAAATTATTTATTACCTGAAATTTATTATTTTAGCTTCTAGGTCCTGAAGGAACCAGAAGCTGAATACTAAATTTTATAATTGAATAAACAAATGATTAGCAGTCTAGCATATAATAATTATATTCTGGATAGTTGTGTATAGATAGAATTTTGCAGTAAAGTATAATCGGCCGCTTACGCGACAGATTATACTTTGCTTCAAAATTCTGTTTATAGTCAACTACTCTCTGCCATCTATGTAATATACTTATTTTAAAATGAAACCATTATTTTACTCACTGTTTTTGACGTTTAAGGTTAAATAGAATATATACTCAATCATCTAAATTAAATAGTTATATGTTAGTAGAATAAGTGCATGAAAAAATTACATTGATAGGTTAAAATAATCGTACTACCTGGTAGTTCAAGATAATTGTGCTCAACAAATGACTAGGGCTATTTGGTATGTGTTATCATAGCGTATCTAAATTTCTCAAATGATATATATTAATGCGTTTTAACATCAAAATTTCTCACTAGACGATAATATTTGAGCATATAGCATTTACTATACATCATTACATTATATTTCTAAGTTTTATTTTATTTAATTTGCTTATTAAGTATTAAAATCTTTTATAAATAACTTTAAAATAGTCCGAATTTACACATTATACATGATCTCGCTAGTCCTGCGCGGTGTCACGCGCTACGCAGCTACCCTAATTATTTAATTCTTTTCTCTTATACAGCTATTTGAATTAATAATAAACTACACCTTTCAAGTCTAACCACTATCAATTTCTTCCGTTCCTGGTTTCGTGCGATGACGTCGCGCAGCTACCTAGTTAATATTTGGCGTACAACTAACTTTGTTTATTCACATCAGTTATTGCTAAGCAAAACAAACATAAACTCTATGTTATGTGCTAACGAGGCTTTTTCTATCCTTGTTTTTTATGTAATATGGTTTTTTGATCGAACAGCAATGATTTGATTAATCAAATGATCGAAAATTGCAAGTAAAAACATATCTAAAGCTTTTATTATATCAGATTTGCTGTTAAATTGCCGTATAAATCATTTAAGTATATTTTAATTTACATTCTTTTTTTATTTTGGGTTCTTACGCGGTGACTTATATTGTATGTTGGATACTTGCAGATTTAATTTGACTGTACGCACTTATTTATAGATTATATCCAGATATAATCGTTATCCCCTTACTTTAATAAAATATAAACCCGGCTATGGGATTTTATAAAAGGGTTATATAAAAGTTAACCGGATACTACCAGCTGCTATGGCATATAAATCTTGTAATATTTCCGGATATCTATCAACGTGTTCCTTCCAAATTTTTCATTTTGCCCTTCTCAATCTTCCATTGCTAATCTTTTATTTTTGCAACATGAAATATCACGGTATCATGGCAATATGATAAAATGGCAAATGACGGTTTCTGACTTCCACAACAAATAATACGGCAAGTCTATTAACTACTGTATATTAATCTTGTAAATATACAGATCAGACAGTTCTGAAAGGATAACTCATCCGACTAAACATGTAAAGCTAGTCAATTGGACAGGCCAATACCTAATTTAATAGTGTCACTTTACTAAATGCAAACACAGTTCAAATAAAGTACGCTACTACAAAACTTTGGTTCATATTTAAAAATAATTATCCATATTAGATCCACAATTAATACATTTTAATAAAAATTTTACATCCCACATAACTAAAACAGATTACAAAAAAAAATTGAAGAATTACAATAATATGTTCTGTTGGGATTATAAATCAATAAAATAGTTTGAAAATATAACCGAAAAAAAATTTACAAATCTTGTAATTTTTGTTAGAAATACATGGATGGCTTAAATCATTTGAACTGAACTTCCGTTGTCAGTGTTATTAGATTTTACTTCTAATATGATTTTAGAACTTTCCAATAGAATTTCTAACCATAAAAAGCTTCAATAGCATTATCAATTTTAACTTCCAGTAGCCTTCCCATTGATAGCTTTGTCTTTCGAGATTTTAACCCCGTATAATTATATCAACTATATCTGTAAATTCAAGATTTCTATTAGCCAATCTAATATTAAAACTATGATTTGAGTTATTCTTCGATATTCAACTCTTGTATCGCACTATCTAAAATAATTATAAAATGATTACAATTAATTAATTAATTTTAAAAAATTATTTATTTATTATTTATAACAAAAAAGAAATTTATACAGTAGTTACCTTGGTAAAGTGACGTAGTATAATTAATAAATTTGCTTTTATAAACGACTTCTGAATATGCTTGCATTTGAATATTTTTATCATTTTTTAATATTTCTTTTGATTTATCTAATTCTAATAAGATAGTTTCATCATTTTGCCACTTGGTAAAAATTTCACGGATTTCTAATGATGATGGTCGGTTTTCTGGTTCACTTTCCCAACATTTCTTCATTAGATTTATATAGCATTGTGGAGAACCCTCAATAATTGTTGGTCTTAAATTATTACTGCATATTTGTATTTGAAGCTGTGATCCAAATTCTTGATTGTAAGATACAGGTTTTCCATATAAAATTTCCCACATAATTAT